TGCATCAAGAACAGACTCAGAGCTGATGCTCCAGCTGGTTTCAGAGGCTATAAATCTCATAGAAAGAGAATGTCAATCTTTCTCCTGTGGAGCAGCTGATAGATTTGAACCTTCTGCCTTTGGATTGGCATAACAACTGCTGCCCACTAAACCACTAGAGCTTCCGATCCCATGAAGATAACTGCTTATTTCCAAGTAAATGAAAACATAGTGAACTATTTTCTAGAGTCATATTTAAAACTCTGTAATTAAATAATGAATCCCCTATTCACTCAGAGATTGAGGCCAAGAATACCACTTTTTAAAAAATTGTCTTCATTCATATGTTTTTATAACAATGATTACAATTACATAATGTCATTATTTACAATGTCCTATAGAAACCTTGCTGTACTCTCCCTTTTCCCTTCACTTTATTCATCCATTTGCTAATTTCTGCTCCCTCAATCCTTGTCTCCCTTCCCTGCCTGTCAATACTCTGTAATTGCTTCTTTGTGGAGTAAACCTTCCCTTAATCTTTCTTCCCTCTTTCCTTCTTCCTTTTCTATCCTTCTCGCATTTCAATCAGTTACGCATGTCTTGTTCCAGACTGTTTTATTCAATGCACATATTGTTTGGTTGTCCATTCATTTCAAGTTGATCTCCCCTCCTCCTGATTGTTGTTGTTGTTGTTGTTGTGTACCTTCAAGTCAGAACCAACCCATAGCTGACACTCTGGCAGGTTTTCAGAGGCAGTTAATTGCAAGAGGCAGATTGCCCACCCTTCCTCCATGGAGCAGCTGGTGGCCTTGAACCTTGTGCCTTGAGATTGCAGCTCATTTTCTTTCCACTAGGCCACCAGAGTTCCCTCCTAATTGATTACAGCATTTAATCTATTCTATTCTATTCCTACATTCTATCTGTACATTCTATTCCTGCTCTTCCCTTTCATCATAACCATCCTAATTTTAGTGGTCCTTCTTTGATTGAGTTATTTCAGTCAGCATAATGTCCTCTAAATTCATCCATATTGTGTAACTTTTCACAAATTCTTCGTTGTATTTCAATGGGACATGGTATTTTATAGTATGAATATCAACACTGTTTCTACAGCCTTTTGTTTCTTGATGGGCACCCGGGCCTCTTCCATTTCCTTCTTATTGTTAATAATGCTGCAATAAATGTAAGTATACATATATCTGTTCATGTTGCAATTCTGATTTTTTTAAAATTATGATATGAGTTTATTTAAAAAATTAGAATACATTGATTTTCAGACCAGAGTCTTCCAAGTTTCCTCACCCCCAAACCATCAACTTGCACAACCTCATGGTTAACCCCCCCATACCTTCTGAACATCCTCATCTCTCTGCTTCCACTCTCGCCACCCCCCTTGGATCCTCATATTCATTGTACAATAATGGTTTCTACAATATTTGTCCTTGTGGGACTGAGTTAGTTCACTGAGCATAATACTCTCCAGTCCTTCCCAAGTTAGGTAGTAATTTACAAAATCATTGCTCCTGTGTGCTGTTTAGTATTCCATTATGTGAATATACCACAACTTTTCAATCCATTCAGTTGTGGTTGGACATTTGGGCTATTTCTATGTTCTTGTGATGGTGAATAATGCTGCTATGAATACTGGTGTACAAGTCTCTGTTTGTGACACAGTTCTCATTTTCTCAAGGTATATTCCAAGTAGTGGAATAGCTGGGTCATATGGAATTTCTATCTTCAGCTTCTTGAGGAAACTCCAAACTGCCTTCTAGAGTGGTTGCACCCTTTTACAATCCTACCAACAATGTTTATGAGTTCCTATCTCACCACCTCCTCTCCAACATTACTTACTGTCCTGATAAGCTTTACCACGGTAACTGGAGTGAGATAGTATCTCATTGTGGTTTTGATTTGCATCTCTCTTATTGCAGTGATTTTGAACATTTCTTCATGTGTGTGTTGGCCATTCTGATTTTTTAAAGCATGATTTCAGTAATGGAATTGACTGGATCAAGTGTTATTTTTATTTTCAACTTCTTAAAGAAGTATCAGACTGCCTTACATAGATAGTGGTTGATCCATTTTACATTTACATCTGCAATGTTTAAGAATTTTGGCCACATCCTTGTGAACGTGTGGTGTTTGCTGTCCTATTAAACTTTGCTATTGTTGATGGAGTGAGATAATATCTCATTATTGTTTTGATTCGCCTCTCTCTAATAGCTAATATCTGAAACATTTCTTCTTGTGTTTGTTGGCCACCTGGAAATATTTTTTTGGTGAAGAGTCTTTCAAATAACACCAGTTTCTATAACTTTGGACAGATCTATATCATGTTTGTCTTCAAATTTATCAATTTGAAGACTAAGGTATACCTCATCTGAGCCATAGCATTTTCATTTGCTTCCAATGCATCTAAAAGTTGAGCAATGGTTAAGGAAGACCAAAGGATACTCATGAACCTTTGAAATATAGTGTTGGAGGAGAGTATTAAATATATTATGGACTGCCAAAGGAACAAACAAATCTATTTTGGCAGCAGTGCTACCAGAGTACTCACTCTTTAGAGGCAAGGATGGTCAAACTTTGTCTCACATATTTTGGGCATGCCGTCAGGAGAAGCTAGTGTGAGCAAAAAAGATACATGGTGAGAAAAGTAAAGTGTCTGTGAAAGAGAGGAAGACCCTCAGTGAGATAGACTGAGACAGTGACTATAACAATGGGCTTGATCGTGACAGAGATGGTGATGACAACACAGGACAGAGCAAGGTTCAGATCAGTTGTTCATAAGAGTCCTTTGTATCCGTTGTAGATGACTCAAGGGCACGTCACAACAACAAACATGCACGTTCACTTCATCCGTCCATTTGAAAGTATGAAGATGAGAGGAAGCCATAGTGCAAAGGGGATCTGAACTATTCCTAAACATGCAGAGAAAAAGATGGGTTTTAGCAAGCAAGGCTGAATTCTATGGGGACTGTATGTGTGTTGTGTGCCTGTATTTTAATATAAACCAGAATTAACTGTTATACATACAATACTATTAGGAAGCCATGGTGGCAGAATGGTTACTAAGCAAAACATTGGTAGTTCAAGTGCACTAGCTCCTTACTAGAGAAAGTGAAGGTGGTCTGCTGCTATTACAATTTACAGTTTCAGAGACTGGAGGGTCAATATAAATTGAAATCTACTTAATGTCAGTGGGCTGGATTTTTTATTTTACACATTATTATAAATTATTTACCATTTTGGATTTTCTGTGTTGCTGTTTCCTCTCTAAATACAGATAACTGAGAACTGAGGCTTTGCCTTTCTTAGGATCATAAAACTGAAGGGAGGATGAAGGAAGTGAGATACAGATATGGTTGGCAGTGATTATACAGCTCTGTCATCCAATGATTATTTCTTTAGGAAAAGATATATCCCTCCTCAAATTACCCCACATAGTTATGCCACACACCTACACTATTGTAAAATGTACAGCAAGGATTACTTTGACTCCAGAGAACCATAGAAAAGAGAAATCAAACAGTAAGGCACACCGCCCCCAGCCCACCACAAAAAAGCTTGAAATGATAGATTGTTTAGAATCCAGTAAATTTGGGATAACTTAGAAAATGGTCTTTTTTCTTTAAGTTACTTGACAGGAATGCACCAGGTCACAGATAGCAGAAAATGTCCTTGGTTCTGATTTCCCTGCCATCATTTCCTAATAGATTTTGTTTTCTTTATATTTAATAGGCTTAATAGTTTTCTCCTACTTCTTCATTAACATTATCTCTTTCTTGCACAATTTAAGGTTTTAACTTTAGATCTATCTATATCTATCTATCTATCTATCTATCTATCTATCTATCATCTATCTATTTATTTTAGTGACAGTTTGTATCTAGGGGATACAAGCAGTAGATAATATACAAAGCAGTTTTATTTAAATTGTAAAGATCATTTGATGGCCACTGAATGTGACATAGTGTCCACAATAGAAAAAAAAAAACCAAACAAAGAACAAACCAAAATCAACAAACAAAACAAAAGTAACAAACATTCTAAAGGTTTAGGTAATATAACCACTTAGCTAGGAATAGGGTCAAAACTGGTATTTGAATTAATTCTTTTCAAACTTTTTTAAAATTAATTTTAATTAATGAAGGTTTACAAAGACTTGCAATATATAGAATCAACGAACATTTCCTTTGAAATGATTTATTCAAATTTGTTCTCTGAGGTAATGACAAATCATCAGAGTAAACCTTTTTTTCTTACTTCTAATCATATGTGTTTGCTCAACTATTACTTTATTCAAGCTTTCAAACCTTGGAAGATCAGCAAAAGAAAAGGATTGTTTCTATTTTATAAATATGTAGTGTCATATAACATTTTTAGAGTCACAAAAGTTGTACCTAGAGAATGAGTGTTTAATTCTCCTCTCTCCTTTCCATGACCAGTAAATGGAAATGGTCTGGTCATAGAAAATGGCAGTACAAAGCTGTCTTCCTGTGCCCAATTATGGTACATTGGGAAAAGCAAACCATCTGTGGCCACGTTATTACATTGTTGTTATGTACCATTGAGTTAGAGCTGACTTATAACTAAACCTCCAGTGAGTTTTCCGAAGCAGTAAATCACAGGGGAGGAGATTATCCATCTTTCTATTCTAGAGCAGCTGGTGAATCTGAACTCCATTCCTTTGGCTTGATAGCATAACTTCTTACCACTAGGCCACCAGAACTCCCTGGTGAGGAGATTCGAATCGGGATCAGGAGACTCCAATTTTACCTCTATTTGGTGCTGGGCAAATAATCCATCTTGTCCTAAGTTTAAAAAACAAACAAATCATTAGCTTCTTAAGGTGCATTTTTGTTCCTACATGTATTTGACTCTGTTCAGAATTAAAGAGGAAATAAACAAAGTTTCTTTTGGGATGAGTTTGCTAGTGATGGACTTGAGCATTGTCAGTGATTATAAGGTGGTCCTTAGAACAAATAAGGAACTAACTTTGTTTGTGCCCACAGACAATCATGATCTCCAAGGCTCTGGATGTAGATAATCGTACAGCAACAACACATTTCATTCTTCTGGGATTTCCAACAAGACCTGTCTTCCAGTTGCTCCTCTTTTCTGTTTTCCTGGCAACTTACCTGCTGACCCTGCTAGAAAACTTCCTTATCATCCTAGCCATTCGCAGTGATGGACAGTTGCACAAGCCAATGTACTTCTTCCTGAGCCAACTTTCTTTCCTGGAGATGTGGTATGTCACAGTCATCAGCCCCAAGATGCTAGTAGACTTCCTCAGCTATGACAAGAGCATTTCTTTCAATGGTTGCATGACTCAGCTTTACTTCTTTGTGACTTTTGTCTGCACTGAATATATCCTCCTTGCTGTCATGGCCTTTGACCGCTATGTGGCCATCTGCAATCCATTACGCTACCCAGTTATTATGACCAACCAGCTTTGTGGTACATTAGCTGCGGGATGCTGGTTCTGTGGACTCATGACTGCCATGATTAAGATGGTTTTCATAGCCAGACTCAACTACTGTGGCACACCTCACATTAATCACTACTTTTGTGATATCTCCCCACTCCTCAACGTTTCCTGTGAAGACTCTTCGCAGGCCGAGTTGGTGGACTTCTTCTTGGCCCTCATGGTCATTGCTGTTCCCCTTTGTGTAGTAGTTGCATCCTATGCCACCATCCTCACCACTATCCTCAAAATTCCTTCTGCTCAGGGTCGCCAAAAGGCATTCTCCACTTGTGCCTCTCACCTCACTGTTGTAACTCTCTTCTATTCTACTACCCTTTTCACCTATGCCCGCCCCAAACTTATGTATGCCTACAATTCCAACAAAATAGTATCTGTGCTCTACACAGTCATTGTCCCTCTCCTCAACCCCATAATTTACTGTCTCAGAAATCGTGAGGTAAAAGCCGCTCTCAAGAAGATCATACTTTGCAAACAAAGTGGGAGCAGAGAAGATAAGGCTTTGAGTGGTTAGCAGACACATGGAATCCCTTCAGGCTTGACTTGGGTGGTAATTAGGACACTTATCCCACTTCATCCTCTGTGTGTGTGTGTGTGTGTGTGTGTGTGTGTGTGTGTGTGTGTATGCACAAGCTTAGAAAACTATGGAAATTAGCCTCTACTGTTTACTCAGAAGTTTTACATATTTTACAAAAAATTATTCCAACTGAACAATAAAGATAAGGAAGAAGAAGGAAGGAAGATGAATATTCTTTTCACACTACTTACAAAAAGAATTCCAGAGGAAATAAAAGAGTGTAATATAAAGAATAAACTAATTATTCTTCTCACAAACTATAAAAGTGTTTCTTAACACTATTTTTTATGAATATAACAAACTAAGAAAATATTAGTAATATTATTGCACTATATAAAATCCTTTGAAGAGTCTTGGAGTACAGTTTAAAGTAACTAATTCTAAATGTAAAACTGGGTTAAAAAGATAAAAATTAAAAATTGTAGGAAACCAATAAGCTTCAATAACATTTAAATTTAGTGCTATAAATTAAGCATTAGCTACTCAAATTTCGTTGCATAAAATTTTTTTTATTTATATGAAAGACATTATCCATTGAGGATAAGAGTATAAAAGAAAGAAAACTCTTGCTGTATTTAAATATTTGACAATTAATTGTGAAAATTATTTCTAATTAATAAAAATGGAAATATGAAGTCCCTCTTGAAATTAAATTTTGAACATAGGAATTTGTGTTATAAAGATAATTAATAAATGTCTATGGATGTGAAATGTCCAATTCAATATTTTAAATAAAATATTTTAAAAAGTAAATATCCTAAAATGTGGAATGTTTGAAAAAAACTAATTCAAGTATTAAATATCATGTCATTTTTTAAAAATAATCTTTTCAAAGAAAAACAATGATGTTCAATAATCTGTACCTTAAAGAAAAAAGTATAAACAACAAATGCTGGTGAGATTGCAGAAAAACTGGAACCATTATTCACTGTTGGTGGGAGTGTCAAATGGTGCAACCACTTTGGAAGGCTGTATGGCACTTTCTCAAAAGGTTGCAAATAAAAATACCATTTAAGCCAGCAATTCCACTTCTGGAAATTTACCCTAAAGAAACCATAACCACCACCCAAGCAGATATATGTACACCCATGTTTATTGTGGCTTTGTTCATAGTAGTAAAGAGCTAGAAACAACCCAAGTGCCCATCAACAAAGGAATGAATAGAGATTCTCTGGTATATTCACACAATGGAATATTATGCAGCATTGAAAAGCAAGGAACTCATGAAATACTATGCTAAGTGGATAACCCTAGATGCCATTATGCTCAGTGAAATATCTCAGTCACAAAAGGACAAATATTGCATAGGGTAACTATTGTAAAATAGGACTGGCATTGGCGTTGAGGAAGAGAGAGAAGAAGAGGAGGAATGATGTTTACTGCATTGCAACAGATGAGAGAAAGAACTGTTTAGAATGGTATTATTATCATGACAGGAGTCCAGAATGAAGGCTGCACAGTGCAGTGGACTTGGGGGGAGGGATTGCATCGCAATGAAAGAATTTTTTATTTTATTCATCAAGGAAAAAAGTGGTGGGCAGGGAGAAAAGTGCAACAAAAATGACTGGAAACCCTAAGTCTCTGTAAACTTTCATTAAAATTAACAAAAATTTTAAAATAGAAAAGAAAAAAGTACAATACAAAATTATATTGTATAAATCTCTTTTTAAAAAACATATTTGCATGTAGATAAAATCCATATGTTGATAAGTTGATGATAGATAGATAGGTAGATAGATAGATAGATAGATAGATGATAGATAGACCTTAAAGATTTAAAATGGTGTCTTAAAGTTATTTTCTCTGAGGTTATTGACTTTAGTTAGTACCTGGGTTATGGAAGTTAAATTTATGAATTTACATACAACTACAACAACAACAATGTTTTTTAAGTTTTTTCTCACTTTGAAATGATTGAACTAGTCCTATTCACAATAAATTATTCATCACAATCACCTTCATCTGCTGTATGTGGAGCTTTTAAATAATTGAAAAAAGTTTATATTTTTCTTAAACTAAAACTAAAAAAAGAGAAAAAAAACCCTTTAATTTTTTTATTTCTTTACACTAAAGCAAGGTTACCTAAGAACTATAGGCACTGTTTTGATTTACCTACAATTTTTTTTAAAATTTTATTATTATTATTTGGGATTTCCCCCCATTCACATTTTGTTTCTTATACTCATTCTCATATACTGTTTTTTGTCATAGTTAATTACATTTAAAAAAATTACAAAGTGAAATCAGTCATCATTGATCTGTGCCCACTATTATGTCTTTTTTGATCCCCACTGTATCTTTTCTAATTTCTTCACCCCCCTCCCTCTACTCTCCAAACTCGGAGACCCTATGATTCCCCCTCCCCTCCCCAGCCCTCCTGCCCTCTTCTCATCCTTTTTTGCATATCCATACACATCTTATTGATTATCCTTCTTGCCTATGCATTCTTAAAAATACACACAAGATGCAAGAAAAACAGTCCTTGTTAAAGCAACTGTGCATTCAGTTGGTCATCCTGTCTTTCTGAGATATCTAAGCTGCATGTCTCAAAGAAGTAAAGACAAAATGGGTAGTCCTCACCTCCAGATATCTATTATGGAATGATGTCTCAGAAATGAATTACAATTAGCAACTAAGTTTCCTAACCACTGTTTTTTAACTGAGTAAAAAAATGTGATAGCAAATATCTGTTCCAAGAGACTTTGAGTCAAACCACATTGAAATACTGAACAAGGAACCCTGAAAATCCATGTTTCCATAAAAGCAACAAGGACACTAACAAAATTATCAAAATCAACATTTCAGAATCCTTAAAATTATTAAAAGACTTGATGAAACATTAAGAATGATTGAATTTTTGTAAAACCATTGAAGCTTTGATCCTCAGTTGTGTAAAACAGTATCTTTTCATAATAGTAACTGTGAAAACCAGTAGTCAAGCTGTCACTAAAGGAGTATAAGGGATCAGTAATTCCCCAATAGCTCTATCATCACAGAATTGTTTTGCCTATTTGATTTGCCTTACAGTTGTCTAGAAAACATTACACTAACAAAATTGATCATTATTTGTTCATTGTTAACAGTGTTTCCTCTGGAGTGATTGATCAAAGACTATTGCTAAAGGTTACAGATGCCTGAGACAGCAAAATCTGTTGAAGTCAAGAAGCTAACACAACACTATAAAAGGAATATTTCAAGAATGAGATTCTAAAAGAAGTTTTGAAAAACTCTTTAACAGTCCTGAGAATCCAAAAGCATTTAAAGGAGTGTTTGCATTTTTGTTTACTATTGAGTCCAAACAAACCCATAATTGAGCAAGTTTTCAGAGGCAATTGCCGAATCTTAATAACAATGAGGAAGTTAATTCTCTGTGCAAGCAGGAAACTAAGGTTAATGCACAGTTGTATGCATTACGGTTTGACTAATAAGATGGCTAAGGTGTGCCTTCACACTCACAACAAAGATCAGTAAGGACTTGGAAACTTATTGCCTCAAGGCAACATCTATCATGGTGCTGCCAATTGTCCCAATGGAGAGAATCTTTGTTTTCCTGATGTTAAATTCTATCTAATAACTGGTTGATTACTAAACTAAATAAACAGATACTTCAGTGGCCCTCATAACAGAAAGATAGACTTTACCAAATGAGTCCAGGAGAACAATTAAACAAACAAGAAAAACACCAACAGTAATGACAATCAAGTGTAGGTATATAAATAGATTAGATTTCACAGTTACAAAAAAAAATAAAATAAAATCCAGTTTTCAACATTACACTGAGTGAAATACTTGTTGTTGTTGATTGCCTTCCAGTTGAGCAAACTCATAGTGACCCTATAAACAAAAGGTCAGAAGCCCCTCTACAACTAAATATTGTATTATCTCATTTATATGAGTTTATAAGAGCAGGCAAATGACTAGGAACCAAAGCTTATTGGTGAGTCCCAGAGCAAAAGGGAGGGCAGTAGGCAGAACTGATATTTGGGAAGCCATGAGTTTTTGTTAAAGTGATCAAAAATTTGATACAGATATGAGGAAGTGGTTGAATTAGTATTGTTTGTACTAAGTTGTACATCCAAAAATGATTGGGTTGGCAAATGTTGGTTTTTTTTATATTTTTACAATAAAAATAGATTTCAGCAAAAATTGTGAGACATGCATAGTAATACGTACTTATGGGGAAACCTATGGTAGAAAGGATGCGTAATCTCCTCTCATGAAATTAACTGCCTCTGAAAACCTGCCAGAGGATCAGCTATAATTCTTTTCCAACTCTACAAACAACAGCAACAATAACAACATGCTTAAGAACATTTATTTCTTACTGTTAAGTTAATTTTCATATTATATGAATGTATGTACGTGCTCGCGTGCGTGTGCGCGTGCACGCGCGCACACACGCGCACACACACACGCACCCTTCTTTCTGGTATTAGATGATGTCAAGTCAGTTCTGACTCATTAGTGACTGTATGTACAGCAGAATGAAACACTGCCTGATTCTGAACCATCCTCACCATCTCTGCTGAGCTTAAACCTATTGTTGTGGTCACCAATCCATCTGTTTGAGGGTCTTCCTTTTCCTCACTGACCCTCTACTTTACAAAGCATAGTGGTTTTCTCCGTGAACTGGCCTATCCTCATAACATGTCCTAAGCATGCGACACAAAGTCTCATCACCTTCAGTTCAAAGGGACATCATAGTTTTTCTTCATCCAAGGCTGATCAATCTGTTCTTTTGGCAGTTTCTGTTGTATATTCAATGTGCTTCATAAAAACTACAGTACAAACCCATCAATTATTCTTAGATTATTCTTATTCACTATTCAAACATATGTCATTGTTGTTGTTATGTGCCATTGAGTCACCTATGATTCATATTGAACCAATACACAATAGCTCTGAACACTGTCCTATCCTGAGCCAATTTTGCAGTC